AATGTTTTAATTTCAGAGATGTTTTCATTACCGATCGCATGACCTAATTGTAGTATGCCAGTCTGTCCTATCTAGGGCGAGGTTGCTATGTAGTAGATACCACCTTATCTCCGAGATCATACCATTTTTCAAACATAGTTCCCCTGCACATCTCTTCATCTTGTAACACGAAGATAATAGAGACATGGTTAGTTTCATTTTGTTTAGATTATCATACGGCGTATATGCTCATATATATAAACATATGATAACAATATATGTTTCTTCCTATCAGAACGTTCCCCGTCAAGGATACGCGATAGTGAAACCGAAAATACAGAAATAAAAAACAGGATCTGCTATTTTTGTATACACAGGAAGGAAATATATAAGGGCCACAATCCTTGATAAAACTGATGATAAACGCATGAACCAGGATATTCGTTTCTGTGTTTATTTCGAATTTACCTCAGTTTATGTTATAGATTGATGGTACAATTGTAACATTATAAATCCGGATCTACGTGTGTTTATTTGTTTCTAATCTAGATTAGAACTGAACCGAAGAACCCTCATACATTTGTTTATGTTTCACCATCCTTTATACATAAACGACTGCAATGAAGAAACATGTCGGTCACCTGATTAAAAATACGTCCAAACACAATATTGATGGAGATACGCTTTACTATACGTGTATTACAGGGAATTTGCACAAGGTATAGTTGGTCAGGTTAGCATAATTTATTTTAAACTGGTTCCCTTACACTACATCTGGGGAGAAAATACCGTTTAATTCATTAATAAACATAAGTGGGTGTAAATGGTCGCATCTGAATCCAGATACATATTATTTTTATGTTTAAATAGACAAATAAATGTTTGAAAATAATGACTGACAAAAATGTTGAACTTTACAATTAAAGAAAATAAACAAAAAATCCATATGTTCATTATTTTGCTACGAATCATAATAAAATATACGTGTGAAGAACACTGTAAAAACGCGCTTAGAAATAAAATCATCCTGCTGAAAGTCCTATAGGCACACATGTGCACAAAGTATCAGAAACTGTAGAAGTAGAGTGAGTGAGAAAGGAATTTGACTGTAGGATTTCAAGTCTAAAAGATCTGAGGATAAACGGATATCGGAGACCCACTCCAATGAGCCGTTAAAAGAAACAATAAACAGTGAAATATAAAAGTCCAAGACGGATATAGAACTACAAATGACAGGGATGAAAGCGATGAATCAACACCCGCCAAACGATTCCCGGTAGACAACAGGGATAGCATCCGTCAATTGAACATTTGTATAAAAAAACTTCCGCGAAATGTCAGAAGAAAGTGCCGAAGATGACGAGATATGCAGGTCACTAAATGTCGATGATTTGATTCACGAAGGCCTTCACATCCGGGATATACAGGTCACGCACGCGCACAGAAAACCATCTAAAGGGAAATACCGGGCTATCGTGATTGCTACACTGGACTCGATTTAAAGCAAACACAAAACCTTTGTAAACATCACTGTAGTGTAATTTACTACTAAGTTCGTAAGCTAGCGAAAGGGACTGATAAGTAAGGCTTTAAGTATGATATTTTAATGAGCAATACACCTTGGTCCATTTCGAGTATTAGAAAATGAAGAACATCTGATATCTTATCACGGATATACATTTTATAGGACCAACCAAATGACAAAAAGTTGATTTTTTCACTAGTCTTTGTGAAAGTCAACCAAACTATAAGCAACATGGGCAAGTCGTGTACGAGTTGATTGAACGGTGTTTCGAAGGGTGCCTTTTTCCAATAATGATATAATTTTGCCATTTTTTTCTGTTTGTGATTAAATGTCTAGTTGTGAGCAATACTTTCTTCGTGACAAATGTGTTGTGTAATAAAAATGATAAGCAATGTATAGACCCACTAACAATTTACTCTGTCTGTTTGTGAAGAGTTACCTGAGGGTTTATCTGACAAAATGCGTAAACAAATGCAAATGGAACATACACTGTCACACTTACTTAAAGGAATGAACTAATTCTACTGTTGCATCCGCCTTTAAATGAAGTAACGTTCTGATTGGTTAATACCGCATGGGATATTCGCATAATGTGATCAATATCATTTTTTTTTCATTTTGTCGAATTTCGAGTTAATAACTTGTAATTTCGAGATAATAACTCGAAATTTCAAGATGAGAATTTGCATACAGCTTGGCGACCACATTGTTAAAAAGATCTTTCCTCGCTTACTTTTGTATCTATGTTATCGTTCTACTTTGCGACAAAACAGTTCCTTTTGCCTGCTTAACTTCAACACAAGTACGCAGTCCTTTGGTACCTTTTCAAACGCAATGACGTACAATCTGTACTAGTTGTATTTCGAGGGAAGCATGGTAACAGGAGCGTTGTCGATAAGATGAGAAATTATGCTTATTTTATCAATAACGTTGAAATTATATTCATGTGAAAATCATTAAAGGCGTTGAGAAAGCTGTGATACTGATATGTGCTATCGTGCTAACGTTGGCCGATGCTGTGATAAATTAGCATTGTAATGAAAGAACATATTACGGTATGAAACAAAAATTAGCTACATAATTAACGGTAATATCAAACTCATTATTTTTATCTTTATTGGCTTACTTGCAGTCCTGGCAGTTAGACGACAACACGCAGTTGTTGACCATTTCACTCTTGAAATCAACATCTTTATAAAACAATGTAACGTGACGATCACGTGACCAGTGAATATTTGTCAAGTGACCGCTTATTATTTAGCTACACTCATCATTTATAATAAAAAAAAAGTAGAACATATTATATTAAGGTATGTATTTGATAAACACGGAACATTATAAAATTAATTACAAGAAATATTCATAACTGTGTGTATGATATAATTATATACACTGTATATACCTTGTGCAGATATATTTTATTGACAATCTTTATGCCCCGACATTATTATATTCATCTCAACATCCTTTGACAGGAGTGTCTTTCTGGTGTAATTAGCCTTTTCCCTCTACACTACGAAATGAACAACAAATCATCCCCAAGGAATATTTAGCCAATAAATAAATTATAAACTCCTGGAAAAAATGATCTATATCTGATTTTTTTTAATCATTAAAACCCTTATGAATAAAATTTAGCTTAAACAATGGTTTATGTCCATGTTGAAAATACTTTTTTAGTAATGGCTGACGTTTTTTGGAAATTTCTCGTAAAGTTTATGGCCTTTACAGTCAACAATCACCCAGGGTGCAATAACCTCAAACAATAGCTGTACAGTCTAAGTAGGGATTGTCATCAGACAATGAGATACATCTTGGAAGCATTGTATGCTTAACATGCTGTTATCGTCGCTAACGATCATCTAAGATATTGTTTTTAAAAGAAAATCATAAGTTATTAAAAAAATATTTTTTAAAAGCAAGCATGAATTAGACACTTTTTTGATTTGAACACTTATATATAAGCATGCCTATGCTTACTGAACGATGCATGCAGTGCACTTTTTAAATGGTAAAATTACAATATCTGTTTAGCCAGTCTCAAGCAACAGAAGCATGGACTCATTATTCAGAAGAAATGTTTTTTTATAATTTGTGGAGGTTACGCGGTATTTATAGCCTGTGAACTACTGCGAGTGAGCTGTATGACATAACACATACCTTACACAAGACATTATGCTGTCATAAACATATCAATGTTTTGCACGTATATGGATTATATCCCATAATTTTTAACATTTATGAAATTTCGTGTCCGCAGTAAATATTGTTTGGTACATGTATAAACGCATCCACATAGGTCTGATATATTCCAGACCAGACAGAAAGGCCGATTACCGTGGAATTGGACTTTGTAAACTCCGGCAGTTCTCGGTTAAACCTGCAGCAGCATTGAATGCATATGTCCGTTTTATAAAACAGCTGTTGTTTTTGTCCAGTCCTGTGTTTTACACGCTGTAACGCTTCCTGATGAACACGTGAATTGCAAAACTCGTTCAGTGGTGCTGAAGAATATCTATATGTGTTTTATCTTCAAAATGGTTTCCCTGTTCTCCGTCGACGATTAATATAATAGTTACTGTAGAAAATGAAGGAATACACATATTTATCCCGTGTCATCAATGGCTCTGTTGTGAACACAATCAATTTCCCTTTCTAGACGTTACCAATCAATCAATCAGGTTTCCCTTTTTAAGCAAGTATACTGAAGGAGTACACATTTTGCGCTTTCTAATTTATGCGGTCTTTTCGTTGCATTTCAACAGCTAGTGCATGTCGACTGCTAAATATAGACCATATAGATATGCCTAAGTATTCCATACCAAACCAGTTATTTATTCATGTATAATTGAAGCGTACATGTTTCATGTTTTCGTTACCATTGCAATTTCCCACTGCTCTTATTACACGAATATCGACCGCATAGTTTGCAACTAATCTTAGAGGCCTCTTTTTCTTTTTATGCTCTTGCAAAAGTTCATGAAAGAATCAAGTGCTCTCATCCAATTTACCCGGTAAGTCATGCTGTAGGATTTGTTCCTATACACCAAGTATATGTTAAAGTCTAATGCAGAAAACGATATTTCGCTAAATCATTAATATAGGTACTGCGATTTCGCTAATTTAAGAATGCTCGAAAAAGTCCTACATGTGCATCCTACCTTCCGTGAAAATATAACTGCGCTTATTTAAGTATGCTTTTAGTATAGTATATATATATATATATATATATATGTATGATATATGAACATATTAATGATAAATACACTTCCATAACATTAAATCGGTCATCGTAATCTCCTGATTCCCTTTCAATATGGTTGTGTCGTAAATGCCCGATCAAGCACACCTGCACGAGTGTACAAATGTTACAAGTGTTAACACTTCGGGCAAAAGGGACATTCATTTCGGTACAAAAGATCCTTATGTTACAGGACATCGTATTTTTATAATGCTTAAAACATGAAGTACAAGAGTATCTTTACTTTCGTTTTAGGTATATATAGTCAATGCAAACGAATATCAACAGAAACAAGGGACACGGAAGGCCGCTATTAATTGTTTTCAACTTATGCTGACTGAGACGGTGCCCACTGATGGTAGGTTGACATTAAGTCTTAAACATACCATTGTTATATTGCATCATCAGACATTCAGCAGGTATATGTCCCCCTCCCCTCTCACCTAAAGGAAATAAAAAAATAGTTATTATTTACAAAATTCGTATCTGCGATGTTGGAAGCCATAATGTTTGGATTGCAAAATGCGAGTAAAAACATAATATACACTCTAAACAGATAAGAGAAATATTAGACCTGGAATTAATGGCAAGCCCTTATTGTGAAATAATTCAAATACTTAAAGTATAAAGAATAAGCTGGCTTCTCTATATGCTGCCGCGCAGTCAACCATATTTCATATTCGAACTCGAGTAAAACATCCGCATCTATTATATCACCTGATGTAAAGACAGGGAATTATCTAGATCACACTATTCCATCTTTGCGTATTGCAGAGTTATCTTCTCTTGAGAAAAAAATTACGTCATTTTCTCAAAGATTGATGACGTTACTCTCACAAACAAATGACGTAACAATCAATACCTGCTCTCAAGAGAAGATAACTCTTCAAAACGCAAAGACGGAATAGCTGGCGTGACGAACGGAGGCCGTCATATTCTTTTTTGTTTTCTAGTGGCATTTGTTTAGTTTGGTTTGGTTTGGGTATGGTGTACTTTCTATCCACAAATATGGTCATGCTAGGACATGTCAGGTAAATCAGCGACCTACGGCCAAAACCGAGCGACTGTCCTATGTAGGTGTCAATCCCAGTGGTGGAGGGCTAGTGGTAGCAGAATATCAGACGCCTTAACCACTTGGCCGCTGAGGCCCCTCAATTGGCGTAGAAAGGGAAAACATCAATATATATTTCGTACTTCAGCAACCGAATCTATTACATATTTTACAAGATGTAAAGAGGGGCACTCCCTTTCTAGTTTGCTTTTAATTGGAGTCACGCAGGGAAACCTTGATATTTTTTGTGTTAAGTCGCATAAAGAGAGAAAATATTTTTATCTATTTCGTATTTTTACCTTATTGAAAGAAAAAAAATCCCTATTAATTCCTATTTTTTGCCTCGCAAAAAGAAGGCGTAGCATCTAAATCAATTGTTATCTCATGTAAAGAAAGGAACCCCCCAATTAATTGTTATCTCATGTAAAGAAAGGAACCCACAAAATCAATTGTTATCTCATGTAAAGAAAGGACCCCCTTCCCCCCAATCAATTATTATCTCATGTAAAGAAAGGAACACCCCCCCCAACCA